CTTTCACGCCCTCTGTCGATCAGCGTCCTGCATAGGGTCAGTACCGTGATTTCCCGCTGAAAGACGCCAAAGAAATTGCCAAATGTATGGGAAAATTAGGCCGTAGAGGCGCTTTTTTCGCGGTGCTGTAGTTCTATTCTTCCCCGAGTTATGCGCCAGTTTGTCAATAAATGTTGAAACAGACAACATTTCACCCACATTTCACCTTTGATGACCTCTGGTCACCTGATATTTGACATTTGACTTGACCTAACCAAAGTACGGTAAACCAGCTGACCCAAGTAGTTTTTGACACTCTTTCGAATGCCGCTTACCGCGTGTTGCTACGTGGCCTAGTAGCCAAGTTATAGGGGTCGGGAGGGGGGTTCAAACCTCAGCCCGGCGCCGGTTAAGGGAAGGCACTATCATTTTGGAGGCGCTGCAGATATGCTAAGGGACGACAGCATCATTTTGAGGCGCGCCACCAACTTTTTAGGGCACTTAAACCACTTTGAGGGGCACCACCGACACTGTGAGAAGCGCAGTTATCTCTTTGAGCCTTGGGGGTGGCACCATTATATTGAAGGGCGCCATGTGCGCAGTAATGTGGGGCAAAATGACAATGAGGAGCGCCTCCGATTCTTAGAAGAGACGCAACATTACTCGGGGGGGGGGGCAACATCACTTTTATTTTGAGGACGCCACCCACCCCATTGTAAGGGGCGGCACTGTAACTTTAAGGACCGCCGCGGATACTTTAAGGGGCGGCTCCATCATATGGAGGGGCGCTACAGATCGTTAATGGGTGGCAATAGGTATGATATTTAGGGACTCCGATACTTCGAAGGGCGTCACCGTTTGTTTGAGGGTGACATCATCACTTTGAGGGGCACCACCGATACTGTTCGGTGCGCCACCGACGCTATAAGGGGCCCGCGCCACCGACACTGCCAGGAGCACAGTCATCACTTTGACCGGCGCTTCTATGACATTTAAGGGCGCCGTGAGCACATTGGGGGGGGGGGGCACCATGACGTTGAGGGACGTTACGGAAGGTTTGAGGGGCGGCAACATGACATTGAGGAGCGCCTCCGACACTTCGAGGGACACCAGCATTTCTTTGAGAGGCGGCACCTTGACTTTTGAGGAGACACCACCGACACTGTAAGGGGCGGCACCATCACTTTGAGGGGCGCCAAGGATGGTTTGAGAAGCGGCACCATTATGTATATGGAGGGACGCTACAGAAAGTTAGAGGGCGGCAACATTGTATTGATGAGTTCCTGCAAAACTTTGAAGGGCGCCACTGACACTGTAAGGGGCGGCACCAGCACTTTTAGGGGCGGCAGCATCATTTTGAAGGCCGCCACCGACTCGTTGACGGGAGGCACCATCACATTTAGGGTCGTCACTGGCACTTTGAGGGAGGCACCATCACATTGAGGGGCGCCACCGATGCTGAAAGGGGCGGCATCATCTTCTTGAGGGGCGGCATCATCTGCTTGAGGGGCAGCTCCATCACAATGAGGGGCGATGTGGATACCTAGAGGGGCGGCACCATTATATTGGTGGGTTCCTCTGACACTCCGAAGAGCGTCACTGGCACTATGAGAGGCGGCACTAACACTTTAAGGGGCGGCAGCATCATTTTGAGGCGCGCCACCGACTCGTTGGCGGGCAGCACCATCACATTCAGGGGCGGCATCATCTTCTTGAGGGGCGGCATCGTCTGCTTGAGGGGCGGCTCCATCACAATGAGGGGCTATGTGGATACCTAGAGGGGCGGCACCATTATATTCAAGGGCGGATCTAGGGGGTCGTTTTGGGGGGGGTCACCAGTCGGCCGACATACCAGGTCTGGTGAATGAATTCTGATGACCGGGGGGGGGGGGGTAGGGAGCGAGTATGTCGAGATCAAAAAATGACATTTGATCTTCGTCGTTTATAAGATGAAGTTTTATCGTAAGTCACTCGGCTCAGTAGTTTTAGTTAGTGAAACCCACCTATATAGGAGCGTCGCCACGGATTTTTTACTGGGGGGGGGGGGGGGAGGCGGGTCGACCGACTTAAAAACCCAGAAGTAGATATAGTTACCTCACTTTTAGCCTAATGCATTAGTAAATAGTAGCATACAGTCACGATCTCTCTTATTGACCTGTGTATGAATCGGCGGCGCGAAGCGCCGCAAAAATTTGCAAAAAAAAGTTGTCAAAACACAGCTCTAAAACACAAATATTACAACCTTTTTAGCATGCTAGTACAAGCCGGAGTTCCTTCACAGTACACATATGAATTCCGATTCAATTTGACACGGTTGGTGTTATTACAGTCACTGTTATTTCTCTCTTATTGATTGGTGTATAAATCGGCGGCGCGAAGCGCCGAGAAAATTTGCAAAAGAATGTGTCGAAACACAGCTCCAAAACACAAATTTTACCACCCTTTTAGCATTGCAGTACAAGCCGGAGTTCCTTTACAGCACACATATGAATTCTGATTCAATTTGACACGGTTGGTTTATGTAATTACAGTCAAGATTTCGTATTGACCTGTACGTATGTACATAAATCGGCGGCGCGAAGCGCCGCGAAAAATTTGCAAAAACATTTGTCAAAACACAGAGGGGGCCTCCTCTCTACAGAGGACCACCGATCTCTACTGCGGGCCTCCTCTTTTCACAGGGCCTCTTAACTACAGAAGCTACAGGGCCTCCTCTCTACAGAGGGCTTCCTCTCTACTGAGGGTCTCTCCCTTTAAGAGGGCCTCCTTTACAGAGGGCCTCCTCTCTTCAAAGAGCCAGAGGACCTCATCTCTGCAAAGGGCCTCCTCTCTTCAGAGGGCCTCTTCTCTACAGAGGGCCTCCTTTCTTCAGAGGGCCTCTTCTCTACAGCGGGTCTCCACTCTTCAGAGGGCCTTCTGCATTCAGGCGGTCTCCTTTCCACAGAGGGCCTCCTCTCTACACAGGGCCTCCTCTCTACATAGAGCCTTCTCTCTACAGCAGGTCTCCTCTCTACAGAGGGCCTCCTCTTTAAAGGGGTCTCCTCTCTACAGGGGGCCTCCTCTCTACTGAGGGCCTCCTTTCTACAGAGGACCTCCTCTACAGAGGGCCTCCTACCTACTGAGGAGTCAGAGGGGCCCTAGCGGTCAGACACAGACACTAGCGGTTATTCACTGGAGGCCCCAGGAAGTAAGAAGGGCCCTAGCTGTCAGGCTGGTCAGAGGGCCCTGAATGTCCTGACGTGATTTTTGGGATTCCCGTGAATTTCTTTCGCCTCAGACGTGATTTTGACCTGCCAGGGCCCAGGGGCACTAAAAATAAAACAAACAAAATAAAAAATGAAAATAGGACATCACCAAAATTAAGTGACCGAAATCCGTTGAGTTTTTAATTTTGCGTATAGGTAGGGGCACCACGAATTAAATTCATGACCATCCCCTTGGAGTTTTCCTGGATCATCCCCTGGTGCTCGCACGGTTGAGACAAAAACGAGTAAGATTCTGGTCTTCAATACGCCTTTTCACGCAACACGATCCAGAAAAACAAAGGTATTAGCTCAGAAGTGTTTGACAGGTGATTTTGAGCATGCAAGACGGCGTCTATAGCGCATTTAGGTCTTCGGCTTTTGGGGGGGGTCAAATGACCCTCTCAGACCTTTTGGGGGGGGTCATGACCCCGTGGACCCCCCCCAGGATCCGCCAGTGATTATATTGGTGGGTTCCTCCGACACTTCGAAAGGCGTCACTGACACTATAAGGGGCGGCGCCAACGCTTTAAGGGGCGGCGCCAACGCTTTAAGGGGCGGCAGCATCATTTTGAGGGGCGCCACCGACTCGTTGGCGGGCAGCACCATCACATTCAGGGGCGCCACCGGCACTTTGAGGGCGGCACCATCTTATTGAGGGGCGCCACCGATACTGAAAGAGGCGGCATCATCTTCTTGAGGGGCGGTATCATCACATTGCGGGGCTCCACAGATGCTTAGAACAGTAGCGGCGGAACACCTTCAGTTAAGAGGGGGCACTGCCGACTTTTGGTCCCATTCTTTCCATGCAACGCCCATAGGGCTAATGTTGAAATGTCAAAATCAAAGGGGGGCACGGTGCCCCGGTGCCCTCCCCGTTCCGCCGCCTATGGCTTAGAAGGGCGGCACCATTAGGTACATTGAGTGGGACCACTAACAGATTTAGGGGCGGCACTGTCACATTGAGTTGCGGGATCATCACTTTCTATAGACGGCTGCTTCACTTTAAGAGGCGGCATTATCATTTCGGAGGGCAGCAGCCTCACTATGAATGACGGCACCTAGCCTGCATGTGCGTGCTGCATCCTAGAGGGGGCGGCAACTGGGTCGGCAAACGGCTGTCACTGGGTCGGCATTCTCCGTGACTGGGTCGGCAATTGCCGACCCAGTTAACATGTTAAAATACGCCCTGTCCAGGGCCCCTCACGACATCCTTTGAGGGCTCCCACGCTGGCTCCACGGGCCGCGCAGGCATCTGAGGTCCCCACGATGGGCTCGAGGGCCCTCAAGCATCATGAAGACCTGTAAGGGCCCCACAGTGGTCTCCGAACGCCACCACGGAGGCTTGTTTGGCCGCGCTGAACTATGATGGCCCTAACGATGACCTCTGAAGCCCCTTACGACTACTTTTGAGGGCCCTTACGATGACGTTTAGTGTCTATTGCAGGCTCGAAGGGACCACTGATTCGTTCAGGCGATTCACGTGCCCATTTATGTCACTTATAGTGCAGGGGGGCATCTTACCCAACGCCAGGGGGCGTCTTTTCCACCCTGTTGGGTAAGATGCCCCCTTTCACTTCTTCAGGAAAATGCTTAATAGCAAAAAAAGTTATCATATTTCAAGCACGAAAGTGTGATATTTTTGGAGAAAAATGATGTCGGCTTCCGTTGAAACTTCAAGTTTTGGCTTTCCGATCGTCATTTTCGAATAATATATGACATAGTCAAACCCTGGGCATCTTTCCCCACTCTCCCCTACCGCTTGTCTTCTACCTCACTTTATTTTTTATAGATGTCCCGCGTGTCCATCCCCGTGGCCCGTGGTCCGTGAATGTGTGAAGTTGACCCAGATCCTTGTCAGTGCGCGGTCAAGTTCCATATTCATTAAGTCATTCATGATTTGCTAATGAAATTACAATGAAATAACTAATGAATTGACAACACTGTTTATCAGCTATGTACAATTTGCAGTTAAATCGCTGCAACTAGAAATTGTTTTACCGTACAAAATACGATACTAGCGCCATCTAGCGTTGGATTATTGGAACTTGAAAGCCACGTCGATTTCGTCTTCGATGTGTCGTGGGCCGGTTTGTTTTGGGGCCGTCAAAGTATTATAAATCGAACAATGAATATTTTTCGGCTTGCTGGTGACTTGTCCCATCTTCTAGCTATTATCATTCTTCTCTTGAAAATATGGAAGACCAGGTCTTGTGCTGGTAAGTGATAGAAGTGTGTGTTGATATTCCACCGGGGTGCGCATATTTTGCCACGTCCTGACTATCTAGGTATTAGGGGGCATTTCAGTTTGAAGAAAGGTTATTACTGGGATCATTAGCGTCGCCACGGGGGGGCAAGCGGGGCAGCTTGCCCCCCCCCCCCCAACCTCGGACCGGGCACCCCCTGAGATCGATACAGATCCGATGAGATTTTGGAGTCGGGAAAAAATGGGGGTACCTTTCTGAGAATGCCTGTGAGGTCAGACTCGGTTGGAGCGTGCAGTTCAAACCAGAGTCTGACTCGCATTCGCCAAAATCTTCAAGACTCCGAGTCCAGACTCGGAAATGTCAATGCTGCGATCCATTCCATGTTCCTAGTTCGTTCTTTATTACATTTTACACCTGATTTTCATAAGTTTTGGAGTGCTGACACAATTTTCGTTCAAAGCGTGAAACGAAATCTTAGGGGCATTTCTCAACTCTCGTCAAATGTCTGCGACAGGCTCAAGTACCGTACAAGTGTCGCAGGGCTCATGAGCTTGCTTTAAACAAAGGCTCCTAAGGAGCTCGACTGAGCCCTAAAGAAGCTTTCAGAGGGCCCAAACTGGCCTCTGAAAGTTCCACTGGTGTCCATGTTCTCTGAGGGCCCATACAGGGATCTACGAGCCTTCGAAGTTCGAACATTTCTGAGAACCTTAACTGGCCTCTGATAGTTCAGTCAAACTTTGGAGGCGACAGACCTTGCTAACCCCAAGCCGGCATCTGAGGGGTCACAGCTCACGTGTCCCTCTGAGGTCCGCAACACCATGTTTATTATGTCCCTACGTAGGGTCCTTAGGGATTCGACACAGACCCCGAGGGTTCACACTGTTATCCGAGGGCTCCAGGCTCACCCTGGGCCTAGTCTCTTAGCGCCCGCCGCCCACACTGGCTTCTGAGGGCCCCACCTTGGGCTTGGAAAGCCCTAAAGCACCACGTACACGTAAATATTTGAGGTGACCCACGCCGATCTCCGGGACCCTAAGCATGCTTCTGAGAGTCAGCACTGACCCTTAGTGGCCTGAAATGGCCTGGAAGTCCCAAACCTATCTCTGATGGATCCCTTGCCGCTATGCAGTGCGTAACTTTTGGTTCCGTTTAACAGTTTTTGTGCACGTTTGCAGCGCTTCCCTTCACACGAAAAACGAGAAACTTTTGTTCACACTCGAGTGAACAAAACACTTCCTCTCACTAGAGCAAAGATGAATTAGGTACTTCCGATTCACCCTTCCGACATTCACTCTCCGCCGAATGCCCAACTTAGCTACGATCGGCGGCTGGGATAAGTCCTATGCATTTCACGTAAAACCTCTGCATGCATGCGTGAATGGAGGTTTTAGCAGGGTGATCCGATTAAATGGAGCGTTTTTCACCTTTTTCTGGGTAATGATCATTAGAGTCGAGCGTCTGCACAGGGGCCCTCTGCAGTGCGTCGGCAATCGCAGCCATATACTAGTTATAATTCTACCAGTCGTTTTTGTCATGGAATTTCAAAATTTCGAATTTTTCTGTAAAAGTTACATGTCATAGCTAGAAGGAAACCTTTGTCACCATCGGATTCCTCGCACCATTGCGCGTCGAATGATATGTAAAACGAGTGAGTAAAGACTGGGGAAAGGCAAGTTTTAACACAAAAGTTGATTTTGCCCCCCCAACCGAAAATCTCTGGCGACGCCTATGACTGGGACACAAAGTAATTAGTAACATTGCACAGCAAACCGTTTCCATGCAAGGTCTCAGATTCAGAGGATAACTCGGGCGGATCCAAAAAGGCGTTCTCGGGTAGGTACTATGGGGGGAGCATGCACCCAAAAAAGTTTCTCCAAAGTCAATGAACTCCCTGGATTTCAGTTTTTATGCACTGCTGTGTGGTGTAAAACAAGTTTTTGCTAAATAGATGTTAGAATTTATGATACATATCAGGTAAAATCTAAAAATTAAAAATTTGCATCAATTTTGGGTGCTGCAGGTGGAGCATCTTGGATCTGCCAGTCTTCTGTAAAACTTAAACCCTTTTTCTATCAAGAGATAACAATTCTATAGTTTGGACAGACTTCTCCATGCTAAATAGTACAGAAATTATAACAAAAATGCTGAAATTGATCATTGACTAGTTAAACGTTTTTTTATATTTGTAGATGAAGTACGGTTGGTGAGCTGGTAGGTTCAGGGTTGTAGTTAAGTAGATCAGGTTAGATTATTTTTTATCTTCACTGTCTCTTCTACAGATTTACCAGATTTTCTTATAGGTGTATGCACATTACAGCATTACAGAACTGGCCATTTTGATGTTAGCATTAAAAATCAAAATGTAGGCATGTAGAGTGGCATGATTATTACAACAAAACAGCCTGCACAGTAAAAAAAAATACATAATCCACCCATGCTAGGTCTACCTCAAAGCCAATCCTATGCCAAAAATAAATGGGTTCAGCATTAATGAGGGGCATGAGCCAGAGGGTAAACAGCAGTTCTAAATAATTTAGCGATACTTTCATACTAATCTTGGTGGTAAAACTTAAGCTCAAGTTAAAACAATTTTTTCAATGATATATTTTGTTCCTTTCTATCTTAATAAATTTGACAGCTCATCACTAATTCAATGGTCAATTCCATGGTGAATATTGAAAACCCCATGTTTTGCGAGTGCTGACGTGTTACAGCTGGATCTTCCTGACAGCGTTCTACCCGTGCCGGCAGGTATCTCGGGCCGATCTCAGATCCTGTTTTTGGTGACCTATGTGGCCCGCTACCTGGACCTGCTGACCAACTTCGTGTCGGTCTACAACACCGCCATGAAGGTGTTCTTCATCGCCGCGTCCGCTGCCACCGTCTACCTTATGCTCTTCAAGTTCAAGGCCACATACGATCACAACCATGATACGCTGAGGTAGGTCGGGAGGTATAAGTTATTTTTTGCCAAAAAAAGTGCAACAATATAGGGCTTACTCTTGGTATCCAAGGCACCTGGGAATATGCAATGTTTGGATGCAACTCGATTGCTTATGCTGATGTAGCCAAATGGTTTGGTAAATGTGGAGCAGTTTCATAAAATGCCAGATCAGTTTTAGGTTAACTTAGAGTTGTGCTTAGTGATATGAAAATTAGCGATCGCATTATAACGTAGGGCTCACATAACACATTATAGGGTTATGTTTATGTACAATTACATACTTAACCTGTTTACTTGTGCATACTTTGTACATATTTTCTTGACCAACGAACTTGTGTGAACGAAAAAACTGCTGCCACCCTTTGGAAGAATTGGACTCATGAGCGACATTTCGATGCGAGGGAAGTTCTGTTCTTTGCATGACAAATAGTTTTGTTTGGGATCGTGTGAATCCTGTTTTAATCTGTGTACGGGTTCCTGCGAGGAAAGTGAGTAAGGCCTGTCGAAGTGCCTATGCCTCGACAACTGCGCGGTCTGGGTGTTGGGCAGTAGGTGGCGCGGGTATCGGTCCCCGTACGGTGACCAGTGTCTGTAGCCCGTGTCCTCACCACACTGTGTCTCTCTGTGCTCCATCAGGGTGGAGTTCCTGATCGCGCCGTGTGCTCTGCTGGCTCTGGTAGTAAACCACGACTTCACACCGCTGGAGGTACGTCAGTCTGGGCGGGGGAGACGGGAGCGGGAATCCTTTGGGCGGTCCAAGATGTGCCACCCTTTTCGCCATGGCTCATTTAGAGCATACTATGTTACATGCTTCATGTGGTAAAGAGCAGTGACAGCCGCTGCTCCAAGCTGCTCATCCGTCGATGGAAGGCGGAGTGAGTAGCGCTCTGCTCCGTGACTAGCAGTTAACAGTTCACGGTGCGTCGGACAGCCCGCTGACGCTGACTCACTGTGTGCTGCCGCAGATCCTGTGGACGTTCAGCATCTACCTGGAGTCGGTGGCCATCCTGCCGCAGCTGTTCATGGTCTCCAAGACGGGCGAAGCAGAGACCATCACCAGCCACTACCTGTTCGCGCTCGGCTCCTACCGCGCTCTCTACATTCTCAACTGGATCTACCGGTCAGTAAATCGTCTCACGTAGTGCCCTCTACATCCTCGACTGGATATATTGATCACTAAATCTGATCCCTCATCAGTGTTCAGTACCGTCGGGTTGTGGACACAAATTTGTGCAGTAAATGCTCGTATGACGAATGATTATCAGCAAATGTAGGACAAAAGTATGTTTCGCAGATGCTCGTACGGTACAAAGAACATACAGACAAAAGTGTAGGTTAGGACTGGTTAGGTAGGGTTAAGTTTGGTTGAGCAAGGTTAAGTTCGGCTGGGTTGGGTTCAGTCAGATTAGGTCCGGTCAGGCTAGTTTTTCTTTAGCGGTGCGTACTTATGTGCTCGTGTAGGTATTTTATCGCCCAAGTACTTCTGCATACGAACTTTTGCGTACGTTGATGCGTACTCTTGTCTGGAAATCGTCGTCTCACCCCATGACAGGCAGCGCCCTCTGCATGCTCAACTGGAGACCTGGGACTCCTAATACAATCTCAGCTACTACCTCCGTACTTGAGCGATGCGAACCTTTGTTCTCAAATTATACCGATTAACGCTGTACCTGCCAGCATTGGTTTTGAACGGCATTTGAGATAATGTCGAGATGAGGCCAATGTTCGCGGCTGTTGTGTTACTCTGCAAATCCAGCTAGTGATCACCCTTGCGACTGTTTGACTTTGCCACCGGGGACATCGGTTGACGATATTTGACCCATGAATCCGGTCTCCGCAGCCCTTTCCGCCCATGTCTTTTTCGCCCTTTTGTGCCCCGTCAGTGTGAGAAGGGTGGCCCGTTTCTGTCGTTTCTTTTTTTTCAACAGATTTGTTGTGTGAAAACTCGTAAAGTAGGTATTTCACTTTTTATTTTGTGATTGATTGACACGTATTTTGTCGTGCTATGAAAAACGACATCAACCAATGATGTATAATGAACATTATGAAACACCTATTAACCCGCGCCCGGCTGGGGGTCCTGGATTTCCACGCCCTGCTGGGGGGGGGGGGTGTTTGAACACCCCCCCCCCTTGTAACTCGGCTCCTGGGCCACGTAGCGATACGCGGAAGGCGGCGTTCGAAAGAGCGTCAAAAATAATGACGAAATCACTTCGGTCAATTTTTTGGTCAGGTCAAAGGTCAGGTCACCAGAGGTCATTGAAGGCACAATTTCGCCGATTTCCAGGTTGAATATCGAAAATTTCCAAGAAGCCAACGCATAACTCGGGAACCAATAGAGCTACAGCGCCGCGGAAAAGCGCATTCGATAGCCCTATTAACGCCCTTTCTGAGTAATTCTCTCAGATTTGACCTAACGTCAACGGTTTTGCCTGCAGGGGGCAAAAACTGCAAAAATAGCCGATTTTTTCGGAAACAGTTTTTCGGCAATAACTTTTGACCCAAGCTTTGTACGAGCTTACTTTTACCGGCATCGTGTTCCTCTCGTCAAGACGCATCGAATGAACTATAACTTGACCTTGAAAGGTCAACTTGAAAATTTGACCTCAGGTCAAGGTCATGACCTGACCGGAAAGGGTCATGTTGCATATCAGTCGATCCGTATCGTCGAGCTGAACACATCTAATGCGTTTTCATCGCTCTAGCATGCCTCTATCAAAAGTTATTTGCGAAAAACTGTTAGATACCATTCGTGACCTAAGATGACCTCAGGGCATAAACAAGGGTCACGGACACCATTTTCATGTTCAGTGTGTCTAAACCACTTGTAATTCAGTGTTTGGGAGTGTTTATACTGTCTTTCGTCCAAAAGAGGCGCATTTCAATTTTCTCCCATTGACTTATAATGGGGAGGTCGCAAAATTGACCTGACCTTAGGTCACCGATATCAAAATTCCGAGATATACATTTTATAGATACTGTTACCCTCATCAATCGCTGAATGTTTCAAAGCGATCGGTCACTCGGTGTAGCTATGACGGACATTGAAACTTTTTATGAGGTGAGGTCACTTCAAGTGACCTGGTGACCTGACCTTGAATGACCTTGGTCTGAAATTTTCACAACATGTGTAGAATTAATGTATGATAAGGTGTACCAAAAACGGCGGCGCTCCGCGCCGCCGTTTTTGAGATATTCGCGAAAAACCACAAGGGGGGGTGTTCAAACACCCCCCCCCCAGCAGGGCGCGGGTTAAAAGATGATTACTTCACGGAATAACTTAACCAGTGATCTAAATAATTCGCTCTTCAAGATTTAGGTGCGAGCTGGCTGCTGCAGCCGACTGTTGAGTTGAAGTCTGGCGCATTGGGATAATTCGGACCGCAGTATTCTTACCAGTCGGTACCGACTGCAGTCGGCTATTATGCGCAGTAATATCCGGGTTGATACTGACTGTTGGCAGCATAACATTGGACAGCTGGGTCGTACACGTGACCACGTCGGAGAAGGAAGATTACGACTAGATATTGCCATTATCCTCACAATGCGCGACCAGGGAGTTGCGTCCGCATCATTTTCCAGATGACAGTTTTCGAGGTGCAGCACGCGGCGGCCGTTTCCCGTGTAGTGTTAGCTAATTCCCGCGGGCCGCAGCTGTCCGTTCAGTGTCATATTTGCCGTGTAAGCTGCGATCGGACCCGTCCGATGGACTCGCCGATTTCTGGTGGCTTCTGCCGCCGTACCTTCCACGATACGAGAGCGTATTGCGATTATCGTAAACGTCCAATGGTCAATGCCGTTCTACTGAGCTGCTTCGATCTTCCGGACGAGTCGTTGCTTCCTGGACCTGTGAGTGCTTGATTCTGTCGTGTACGGACTGAAGGTACCCTACGAGGTCAGCCCTACAAGCTACTGTTAGATTACCGTTGCCCTGAAGTACTTCTTGGTCTACTAGGTCTACTTTGTGTTATTAAAAATGTATGTGCGTGGTGACTGTTTCAGGCCCTATTGCTTGGTAGCACTGGATTTGGGACTGAAAAGAGAAGAAAATTAAGAACATGCATAGTAAATAGTCATGCCCACACGGTTTCATTAGGCTCGATGGCAACAGTGTAGGCCAACTTATCCACCATGCCCGAGGGAACCACTCTACTGTTTGTGATAAACATTCAGACACCTGTTTGCCAGCTGGATTTAAACACGCAGATGAGGCGCGGAATATTGGTTTGATCGGCGGATCGGTCGCTGGTGCTACGCTTTAAACCCTGCCGCCCAGTGTACCCGCGGGCCTGCGAGCATCCACTCAGCTTATTATCTGGAATGTGCTGAACTCTGCCCGGGACCGATCTCTACCTGTGCTCCGGGATTTACCTACGTTCGACGTCATCCCTGTGAAACGTTTGTCAACTAATCATGCATCTGGCGTCTCTATTCTCTTCAAAGAACTCGGGGTATTGCATAGCAGGTTTTAGGCTGAGTCAATAAGTGTGTGGGACTTTTCACAGAAGCGGTGCCGATAGCGGCTCCCCTGTAAAGTCGCGCAGATCCTACTGGTGTGTACTGGTTACCCTGCACTAACCGTCCCACCTACCCCGTCCACTGCGTCTCGACGTGTTGTCGCTGACGCCAACGTCGTACTCCCGCATTCGACTGGTGTTCCGACCTTTACCGACCCGTCTCGTCCCGTCCCGTCCCCGGGTCATTTAGCCCACTGTCCTGGCAGCGGGCTGGGTCGCACTGACTACACGGAATCGCAGGCTACCGTAGCCGACGGCAGTGGGTTTCAACCGGATACAGTGCCGGCGAGGCTGCTCCTGCCAGAGGCGTGTGTTGTGTGTACCCGGTGGCACTAGGATGGCTTTGTTTTCTGCGAACTACCCCGTGCCGCTGCTGGGAATTGGAGTTAGCACTGCGCAATGCTCGGATACAGGGCTGTGATTCCATGCGCTATGCTGATGGAGCGCATAATCTGCCCGTTTGTATTACTGTCGACAGGGGATAAGTCCCCACATTTTGGAGTAAATTGCCAGGCTCATTATTGTTACGTAAGCAACAGAGTGCTGGTAATACGAAGCGAGAGAATAATTAAGCAAAAAGGTATCTGACTGGTTTGTATAACTTGATAGGTTTGAGCTTTATTATATCATACGTAAGCGTTTCGAATGGTACTCATCAGACATGCGATTGTGCATGGACCTGACAAAATGAAGCCACAATCTGATTCCATGGGTACAGTTCTGGGATCAAATAGGATCAGATATGGCCTCTCCATTTTGGCTAGAAATCCTTTGTGATATTAGATATCTACTGAGATCGAAGATGCACCATGTTTTCCCCGTTCGATCCACAGGGACCTTAGCATATAGGTTTGTCGCGAGATCCACTGAGATGATAGCTAGGTCCACCCCTCGGATCCATTTACACGTCTGGTACGCCCCCGCCCACCGGCTGTCGTGGTAGCCAGCCATTCCCTAGTTTCACTCCCCCGCACTGCCACCGTTTGACCTTTGAACGTCAATACGCCCGCCGACACCACGTGAGACGCGCGTCGGTACTTGCGTCCAGTTTCACCAGTGAACAGCGGTGGACACCGACACTGGTCATCCACGCTTCTCACAGATGTGTGTTGTCCTGCTGTTTAGCCGCGAAGATAGCTAGCTATTTCGGTGGTTTGTTGGCTTGTTCTTCTCGGTCAAACCCAGCGAACAAACACTGAGAAAGATCGACGCCGCTTTCGAAGAACGCTAGCGGCGGCGGTTCGGCGCAGAAGTGCGGCCCCCCGGGAGCTCAAAGATGGCCTTGGTCTCTGCCAAGTTTGTTGGAAGTCAAAATTAAAGTCGGTGGTTGCTTGAAGGATTTAATCTCAGCATAAAAGCAAACGCTGATGCGAACTACAAGTTGTCAAATTAGAGTCGCGCCTTACGACGTCCCGAGTCTGCGGTGTTTGCTTGTGTGCCGCGGCCAAACAGGCAAGCCGCTCCGATTATGTTAAGAGCAGTGAACGAGAGAAGCAGCGACCTTTAGTTGGTTTCTCGTGCTTTCAGTATTGAGTGATGATATCTGATTATTTGACTGAATGGGTGAGGATAGACGTAGGTGTCATTGTGGTGATGGGTGAGTTGTGGGACGAGAACTCGAGTTTCGTTTGTCAATGGTAGTGGGATGGTTTACTTCAGAAGTTGGAGTTGCATTGCCGCCAAGTTATAGACCGAGCATCGCAAGGACATTCGACAAAGTGAGAACAGAATATGAAAAAATAATAAGCAGGTTTCAGAAGGTCACGCCACCACTCTAGGTCGTAGCCCGTCCTTCAGGTGGGGGCTGCACGCTTGCTGCCAGCCCACGGCCGCTCCAAGCATAAGGTCGCTTCACGTTTCGCAACGCAGTACGCCGCTTCGGGCCGCCGGTGCCAGCTCAGCCTGAGTTATCCTCTTCTGACTCACTCTTTGTGCCACCTGCGTATTCAAATAATTTTGTTCGAAAAATATGTCTTAAAGTGTTTGGCCCCAGTAGCTGCATTCGGCAATTTGCTGAGCTGGTGCATATAAAAGTGTATGTATGTTCTCAAAGATCACTGATCTCAAAGAGCAATGCATGTCTGTCAGGATATGCCTGGTAAAACCCTGTGAAAACCCTGTAAACCCCTGTAAAACGTAGGCCTGCTTTGAAGGTCCTCATGCAGTGGTGGTCTGGAGTCAATATAGTGTCGGTGGCAGGCCGGTTCGGGGAAATTGACGGCAATCGGTCCGTCCGACGCCGACTTTGAGCGGCTGCCACTGTGGGGACGGTCGCTGGCCTGCGTGTGACGTTCGCTGGTCGGGGAGGGGAGAGTCAGCCTCCGCCCTGAGTCGACGGGACGCGACGGCACATGTGTCCGCGCGTGAAAGCTCGGCTCAAAGTGGCATTTCACCTGCTTCCAAGCCACATCGGTCCGCTGAAAAAAGTCTTTGCTCTTAGAAGCTTCGTACAAACTGCTATCTAAGCAGTCTCCATTCTGCCTGGCTCTATTTTGCTTGAGCTTGGTTCTGGGTGGTACGTCGGTTTATGTTGATCAATCCACCCGATAGGTAACCACGTCGATGTCAGATCCAATTCCCAAGAGGTATGCCGGTATCATTCTCAGGTGTTTGGCTGTTTCCGCGGATTACGTAAGGCAGCGATATCTGACTATGCCTCGAATGATGTATTACATGCTTTGTCCGAGAAATGCACAATAAACAGCCGGGGATATTGGAAACTCGGCTTGCTAAGGCAGCTCGGGGATGACTTGTTCGCCATTTGTAAAGTCTTATCGCCTTCCATTATCGTTCGTTCGTGGATCGCGAGCGGTCGCTGCGAAATATTGTGATTTTACTCGCGACGGTCTATGGTCGGTCGTGGATTCGGTCGCCAGCGCCTGCGCTTCTCGCTCAGTTCACTGCAGCTCGACACATCCGCTTTTCATCAAGATGAGCGTTTCATCAAGAGTCCTTCATTATCAGCAAGATATTAAGGCTTGATCCACCATTCGCTGCTCCCGTCACGCACCCCATTATTCCGACAGCACAGAGGAGCATATTTTGCATTGATGGCTCGTATGTGAAGGCGGCAACTCTTAGCCTTGTCCCGGATCTGAGGGATGATACTGCCGTTTGCTGTGCTCGTTATATGAAGGGTGGACTCTCTCGGATGCAATCAGTGCGTTGACCTGAGCCGAGGCGGCGGCCGTCAGTGGCCGCGCCCGGTGTTGCCGGGCGCTGCTGGTGCCGTTAAGCACGGCACAACACTTTTACTCTGCTTTACGGCGGGTCTCCGTCTGACGAAGAGGCGATTTCTGCCGGCTACTGTCGCCCACAGAGGTCTGTCGGTAAGGCAGATATGGTCGTCTTGTTCGATGACCGATCATCTGCAGTACCTGCGGGATGAATGTCCCCCACGCAGTGTGTTTTGCAATGTAACTGAAACACTGCGAGCATCTACAGTACCTGCGGGATGAACGGCAATGTTCCCCCACGCAGTGTGTTTTGCAATGTAACTGAAACACTGCATGGCTGATAGAACTATCCTGTTACATTTGTTTCTGGTGTGCTGGGTGGAAAAGCCCGTTGTGACGCGTTAACCCGCGCCATAGCGGAGGACTTAGTATGTATTTATTTATTGTATTTAAGGACCTCCCACACTGAAAGCCATGCCAATTACGAGCGAGCCGTTGCTCTGTGCAACGAACTCAGCCAGGTGCATACCCAGCGGGTCGCTGCGTGCTCCAGTCGACAATACTTTATGTGAGGCACTCCACTTCTGAGCGGGTATGTCCCAGTTCCTGTGAGCGAACAACACTTGCTGACTAGCGCCTGCCGCCATTAGTCTCTGAGAGGACGTCAGTGTTTCCGACTAATGCTGTGTGCGGTAGTTCCTCGTCGGACGTTGTACCTCATCAAGCATTCCGCTTTTCATCGGCTCACTGTGTTTGTGACTCCATGTATGAACGGATTAATGCAGGTGGGGATGTTCCCACTTCTAAATGACTGCCTGCCCAGGCTTCTGCTGTAAACGATGGCAAAAGTTCGTTGCATCCTTCTAAATTCGTTCTCAGACGATGAGATCGTTGCATTCCTCCCTCACTAAATAGCATCGTCTTTGCGTGAAATGTGAATTTCCCGCCGATATTATCTTTTTCGTTTACAAACATAACCTACCGTTGCGTGTGGTTTCTAATCTGCCGTGTCCGATTCCCCCACTCGGAGCCTCTCGGGATATATTGTGGTTGCTCGTCTCCGGTTAGCTGGGATATTGAAAGGAGAAGAGCAGACCGCGCGACTGTCTGGCTCGCTAACGACAGTGCGTTGTTGGCGTTGTTGGGCGGCATGGTTTTTGTTGCGCCGGCTTGGCAGAGGAGCCGCTATGCCGCTGCACCGCAGATAACCGCTGTGTACCTGGGCAAAGTCATCATCGGCCATTAGCCCACTGATTGAATAAATAATTTAATGGCGGCATCGTTTGTGCTGACTTACGTAAGGAAGCTGGATAGCGCTATTCGAGCGACAATGCCAGCATCTGGGGCACATACCTTCAGTGAGTTGGGAAACTAATATTTCCTTGAAAAAAGAATCCTAACAAAACAAGCAAACTTGGTTTAATATTGTAACTTGGCTGGCTGCCTCACCTTAGTAGCCTTTTTTATTTGTGGCTGGTCCGCGCGCTTGTGCAACCCAAACATCATTAAGTAAATGACGGCTAGAAACCTTTGTGTACAGTTGCTACGCGCGCCGTCCCTGAGCAATGTTTTGTGAGAAGTCGCATTACGGCGGCCGGTTCTGTCTGAACGGGAGGGTGCTTTTCAGTCGCCTCTGTCAATGCGGTGGCTTGAAGCGTCGGACAGCGACCCGGCGTGGGGAGTGGGCACTCTGAGGTCTACCAGGGGCGGAGGGGGGGGGGGGGGGCGGAGAACGGCATCGACGGCTGCCTGGACCGATCGGCCAGTCACTCTGCAGTCTGGTGGCTGGACGACAGTCATAGCCGCTTCATCAGCTGGCATGCCTGCTGACGTGCTGACTGCTGCGCTGCTGATTGAGCTGGCTGCGGAAGCCCCCTTATCCGTTCTTATCCTGAGCTGACTGCGGAGCCCATCAGCATAGCGACGACTTTCGAGCATGTGCTTCCATTTGTCATTTGTTTTCTTTTCCCACATGTATCTCAGTCTGTGTTTCCTGTAGTTTGAGTCATATAATGGAGGCTTGCTCTCCTGATTAGAAAGAGACTGACAATTACCGTATTTAACATTGCTTTATTTTGTCCCTTTGTCCTGGCGCAGACTTCGTGTGACGTTCAAGTACTTTGCGGCTGCAGCCCATTGCAGTGTGAAGAATTTAGGCATCTTTTTGCGGCACAGCCCATTAAAGTGTAAGGAATTTGAGCATCCTTTTGTAAACGCTCGGATTGTTTCCCGACCCCCACGCACACACATTACGTGTTTTGTTACGTGCCATGACAACGTTTTTCGGTCGAAGCGTGAAACGCGATTACTGAATGCCAGAGTCTGGCCAAATGGATGCCAGATTGGGGTCTGTGTAGCGCTGAAAGCCTGCTGGGGCCTGGGACTCGTTGTCCATTTGACGCTTGACGTTGGCTGTTATTGTGTTATGTAACTTCAGCTTCTGGTACGAGGTGTGATAATGCTATGTCTGTCGACTCGTCAGAAATATAGCCATGGTTGTCGCTGCCTCTTACTGACTCTGGGCTTGTCTCCGTTTGCAGCTACTACTTTGACAACTTCTTCGACCTGATCGCCATCGTGGCCGGCGTGGTGCAGACGGTGCTCTACTGCGACTTTTTCTATCTCTACATCACCAAAGGTACGGACTTTATTTAAATCTCTCTCTCTCTCTCTCTCTCTCTCTCTCTCTCTCTCTCTCTCTCTCTCTCTCTCTCTCTCTCTCTCTCTCTCTCTCTCTCTCTCTCTCTCTCTCGCTCTCGCTCTCGCTCTCGCTCTCGCTCTCGCTCTCGCTCTCGCTCTCGCTCTCGCTCTCTCTCGCTCTCTCTCGCTCTCTCTCGCTCTCTCTCGCTCTCTCTCGCTCTCTCGCTCTCTCGCTCTCTCTCTCTCTCTCTCTCTCTCTCTCTCTCTCTCTCTCTCTCTCTCTCTCTCTCTCTCTCTCTCTCTCTCTCTCTCTCTCTCTCTCTCTCTCTTTCGCCGTCCATGAAGCCATTAAATCGATCAGAATTTAGTGAATTGATGGTTTGTGCTAGTTTGGGGCTTCTTGCGCCTTTTCCTGTATGCGATGTGCGTTATTTCGCTTCGAGAAATACACATGATATGACACGTAATGAGCTCTCTCCCTCCCCCTCTCTCCTACTTCTCTCTTTCTCTTTTCCCGGATGCCACCATCGTCATGGATTTAATTTTAAGGAGCAAAGTGCTAGTTGCGTGCGTAATCACTTGCAAAGTGCCTCACTTTGTCTTTGTTTTCGCAGTTCTGAAGGGCAAGAAGATCGTGTTACCTGCTTGAGTTCGCCGAGATGCTAAATAAAGGGCGCTGCTGCAGCCCACATGACGTCATTGGCGTGTGCGATCGGCGCGTGACGTCACCGGTGTGCGCGGCCGGCGTATGACGTCATTGGCGACGGCCGGTCACAGAGTGAAGCTAGTGACCGACTCCGGTCGGCGAGCGGGCCATCTCGGCAGATCGCCGGTGTTCTGCGGCCGGGCGAGTGGCGCGCGCCTGAGCTTGTGTGAGACGCCGCTGCTGTCGCCGTTCTCTGAACCCCTCCCCACACTCCGCTGTCGGCATTAAACCCGGCCCGGCCGGCAGAGCGGAGCCGTGAGCGTCGTTTGTTTGTGTGTATTTAACTGGTCGACGGGCGCTGACTCGCCGTGGCCGGCACGGTTTTATGGTGAGCGGCTGGACGGCGGTACCGTGCACTATCCGCCGCCGCGCTCCGCCGCCTGCGTTATTCCACAGTTGCGTTACTAAGAAGGCTTTGACTGAGGGTGCGTCGAACTGACTGGAGAGAGAACATTCGGTGTGAGGAAGATTCTTATTAAAAAACGGGGTTAAAGTGATCGCTGTGTTTGCTGTCTGGTTCGGATGCACGCTGGGCAGAAGAAAGGGAACCCAATGTCGATTGTTAGGGGTGGTCTGATACACACAGAAACAATAGACGTGTCCGCAGTTACTCTTATTGAGCGTTTCCATGGCCATCTGTTAAAGCACTTACAAGTGTTATACACTGAGCTGACTGTTAGAGTAGGTGCAACGCTCTTCCTTTCACGGTTTGTTATTTGATCTTTAACACGCGCAGTGGAAGGGGGGCGGATTTCGCCCACCCCTCCTGTTTTTCGCCAATAACTCGCGCCGCAAACGTAATATGAATGTTGAATTTTGGCTACCTGACCAGAATTGAACTGCGGATCTTCTCATGCAAGAAATAAGAAAATCGGTTCACAACTTTTCTAGTAATAGCGGTGTAAAGTCAAACATCCTGCCGGCGCGGCGAGTAGTAATCTTGGGCGCGGCGGCCGGCGCTAGCCGTTACGCGCCGCCTGAATTGTGGACTGCCGGGGCGGGACGGTTCCGTCGTTACATCGCGCTCCTTACCGCTGATTATATTCGATTCGCGTCAAATTTTGTGAGAAGACTGAGAAATGTGCAGGCAATCATATGGGCAAAGAATTTTGAAAATCGGCCGGTAACAACTTGAGTTATGAGTGTGTAAACAAAAAATTGTGATTGCCGCGTTTCCCGCGTCGGCCGATCCCGCTTCAGCCGGCGACATCTTACCCTTAGCAGGCCTCTAACTGCCATATTTATTGTTTGATTAACTAGAAATTCACCATACATACTCACAAATGTATGTTCTTTCGTACAGTGAAAGAAAAAAAGAAAATCGGCCGGTAACTTTTTGAGTTATCGGCGTGTAAACGCAAGAGAGTCGCTCATATGGCAGATTTGACCACATTTGACCTCATTGGATCTTGAAGATATTGACCTAGGGTCATGAAATTCACACACATCAGAGTTCCCTAGGGCCCCCACCTACCCTGCAAATTTCGTCTTTCTAGCTTTAGTGGGAGCTGAGATCTTGGGGGGGGGGCGACATCCGCCCCCCCCCCCTTCCACTGGTCGTAGTACTCGCAACCCTTCCACTGCGCGTGTTAAGTTATCCTTTTCGCCAACGGAAAAAAATGATTAATTTATAGTAGGACGCCTCCATTTTCGGGTACGAAAACAGAATCGTGTTTACGTTTTTGGCTGAAGTCGACAGTAGGGCTGCAGAGTCGATTGCTTTTTGGCGACTCTGACACTGACTCCGCCTTTCAAAAATCAACTGCGACTCCGGGCAGAACTGTCGACTCTGACTCCGCAGACGTGGCAGGGCTGCGGAGTTGATGGATTTTCGGTGACTCGGACACCGACTCCGGCTCCGATTTCTAAAATCGCCTCCGACTCCGACTTCGATTCCGGTCAGAATTGTCCAGTGTTCACTCCCGACTGACTCCGCATCCCTGGTTGACAGTCAGTCTGGAGGCAAGGTCTGTTCCAGAAATCGAACCCGGGTCCTCCAGATTCCTGAACTTGGCTCGGTGGGGCTGTCGAACACGCGTCATGCCATCGGGGCATTGCAGACTAGGTGGGAATTGAATTGCCCTGCGTCTCCCCGTTTCTGAGTCATGCGGCATAAAACATGGCCAATTTAAGGTGACATGATTATGAATTGCCGTTCGAAAATACTCAGTTCCGGCACCAATAGAATATCTCATTGATGTTAATTTGAACAACTGTTGAAAGGTCATTCGAAATTAAATGAATGAACGTTTCTCCAAGGACATTCCGTACCGTACAATGTCTAGTGTTCTGTACAAATAAGGTAGGTACAGAGGACACCGTCTCTATTCCTTTGGTTGAATGTGAGGCCAGATAGGTACGAGCGTTCGCATTGATGGGAACGGGGAAACGCGCTCGCGTGTGCACATTCACCGAATAAAGAGCCACTTTCACCGCAAACTCTTATCATTCAGCATTACTGTGCTGGTGGAATGTCGCGTCACACGATTATGAAAAATGAGGCGGGCCGTGCTTTCCTACAACTGGCCCCCCGAAACTATCCATGCAAGCTGCGCCGTCGTGTCGTGCGGTACAGCATAACTTCAGGCGTCCGCAATTGTGCTGCCATCTATGTGCGAAGGATGTAACGAGAGACCTTTGTGCATGCTGTAGTCCGCACGGATACGGAGGTATATGGACGTAATTTATCATGTAACTAAATTACATGCTTGCTATTAGTTTTACCAATATTATGATATAATAATAAGGCTATAATAACTATATTAAAGGTAATATAATCGTTCCGACTAATCCGTTTCGTCGACTGCTGTGCCGGTCGTACAAATATAGTCTCTCTTGAACCTACCGCGCCACGGTGCAGCGGTGTCATCAAGCCCGAGAGAGAGAGAGAGAGAGAGAGAGAGAGAGAGAGAGAGAGAGAGAGAGAGGGGAGAGAGAGAGAGAGAGAGAGGAGACTACAAATGACCATTATTTATACTGTTATACATATACTGAGAGAAGTGCCAGCTTTCCATTTCTGTGATTTCCCCAGGGCCTATTTTAACATGTTAACTGGGGGGGGGGGGGGCAAATGCCCCCGCACTCAACAAAATTGCTCCCCAGTCGTCGAGATTTGCCCACTATAAAAATGGGCATAAAGGAACAGGGTGACAAACATACTACTGTGACTTGTTTTGCAATGGATGTCAAATGAGTCAGTCGGCAAGTAATGACCAGTGGTGGATCCAAGGGTGGGTCATATGGGTCATCACCCCCCGCCATCTTGGGGCCCTGGGACACCACCGGCCTGTCAGGGGCACCACAGGCCTGTTGGGAGCACCATCGACCTATCTAAAGCACCATAGACCTGCCAGGGGCCCCACCGACCTCGCAGGGGCACCTTGGTCCTGTCAGGGGCACCACGGGCCTGTCAGGGGCACCACGGGCCTGTCGGGGCACCACAAGTTTGTCAGGGGCACCACAGGCCTGTCAGGAGCACCATCACCATAGGTCTGCCAGGGCCACCACGGACCTGCCAGGGCCCCACCGGCCTCGCAGGGGCACCACCTTGGGCCTGTCAGGGGTACCACCACAGACCCGCCAGGGGCACCACAGGCCTATCAGAGGCACCACAGGCCTAGCAAGGGCACCACGGACCTGTTAGCGACACCACGGGCCTGTCGGGGGCACCTCAGGCTTGTCAGGGCCAAGGGACACCACAGTCCTTTCAGGGGCACCACAGGCCTGTCAGGGGCACCAGAGGCCTAGCACGGACACCACATGCTTGGCAGGGGCACCACCGGCCTCGCAGGGACACCTTGGGCCTGTTAGTGGCACCACGTGCCTGTCGGGGACACTCCAGGCTTGTCAGGAGCACCACAGTCCTGTCAGGGCCCAGGGGCACCAGCGGCCTAGCAGAGGCACCACCGGCCTAGCAGGAACACCACCGGCCTCGCAAGGGCATCATGGGCCTGTCAGGGGCACCACGGGCCTGTCGTTGGAACTTCAGGCTTGTCAGGGGCACCACAGTTCTTTCAGATGCACCGGCGGCCTAGCACCATGGCACCATGTTTGGCCGGGATCGCGATTCGGCGTGTGTCGCCTGTCATTAGTCGCGCGTTTGCAGTCTTTTCGTGGTTTCAAACGTTAACATGGGATATGATGTTGCTCCCATGCATTAGGGTGGGTGTCAAGGTCACCGGAAGGTCAGGTCAGGTCATTTGCCTTTGATGACCTCGGTTCACATTTTGGAGTTTTATAGGTTTCTAGGCTAGTTTTTGGAGCTGAATTCGAATTTAGCAACCATTTGACCGTTTACGAAGTAGTTTTGGTGCCTTCGTAACATGTTACGAAGCTGTCAGAGGCGGTTGCCACCTACTAAGAATACCCGGCAAAACCCTTACTGGTTGACCTGACCTGACCTGACCTGACCTGACCTGACCTAAATGCATGAAGACATCATCTATGATCATAACTAACATGATATTCGTGATCAGCACCCCGAAAAAACATAGCAGCCACCCTTTACGACGCTCTAACAGGTCCCCATTTTCCCGACTTTTGGGCCATTGACCTGACCTGGAAGGTCAACCGATGACCTCAGACCTAGGACCTTAAAATTGGGTATCATCGGCTTCCTTTCATCACGGGCAACACGGTCATTTTTTCTACGAAGCTCTAGCTCGATCAGGGGCGAAAAGGCAAGGGGGGAGGGTCCAACGGACCCCCCCCCCCCATATACGTTTGCAGCTGGAAAACACCAATACGGGCGAGGGTTAATGGATTATTAAATAAAATTTTCCAGGTTGCCCCCCCCCCAGTCAAATTCCCTTAACCTTCCAGGCGGTGTGGGGGGGGGCATTTTTTTGCCCCCCCCCCCTTTAGTTTTTTCGATATATCTCCAGAACCGCTGCGCCGATCGTCACCAAACTTTCAGTACCCTCCCGTGAACAGCTATTGCACATTGTGACCAAAATTTTTCCAAAGGCTATGATAGGTTGGCCGCTAATGACGTCAGAGTGCGTCATTTTTGCCATTTTCGACCCCAAAAAAAGGTTTCGCGGGAAGAGTTGTCAGGCCTACAGCTTTAGAGATACAGAAAAATGTTTTTAACATAAAAGGTGTAGAATTTACAGGGCTACAAAACTGCTATCTCAAATTTTTGAAATATTTGGATTTTGGCCCCCAAAAATCAAATTAAATATAATAACCGAAAAATACAAAAAGGTTTTTGAATTTCGAAAAACTGGAATATATGTGATAGTCCCTACCGCCTTCTATCTACATACCAAATTCGAGATCGATACCTCTTTCTTTGGCCAAGTTGTAGCGAAAAAACTGTTCATAATTGATGACGTCAAATTTTAAACTCAATTTTTAGCAATTCTAGACCTCGTAGCGCCAAACAAAGACCACCATTAGACTCCCCGTGACGAGCTGCATCGAATCAATACCCATTTTATGCAAAAATATCAACTTTGAAATTTGACCTTTTTTGACCTGACCTTGACCTGACCTCCACCCGACAGTGACCTAAACTGTACCTGATGGTCTCATAACCAACACCATTGAGTTGGAAATGAAAAATTGGCCATAAAACATGCATCGCACAACCTTAGTAAGGTTGGGTTCATGTGGTGACCCTTGGTGACCCTTGGTGACCTGACCTGTGACCTGACCTGGTATGACCAATGACCTCTAATAGCTACATATGTGCTAGACAACTGACGCCCTATCGCTGATTTCCGACAAAATGCGTTTTCCTCGGTGTTATAGCGCTTTCCATAGAAGACCCGTGAACGGTGAAACATTTTATCTTTGACCTGACCTGTGACGTCATCGGTGATCCCGAGGTCAATGAAATTTGGTTTCCTTGGACAAATTTGACAGGGCTATCGAACGCCGTTTGAATTTTCCGGATCCGTCTAGTAGTTTCGGAGATACGAGGGGGGGGCAAAAATATGCCCCTCCCCACCGCGCGGAAGGTAGCCGGGGGGCCCACCGCCTGCCGGGTTAAAATAGGCTCTGGATTTCCCTCAGCGTTCTTGCTCGTGTCTTCTGTGCTAAATTATTCACCACTGTTTGACGCTTACCGCTTAACAATATGGACATTCGGCATTCACTTACTTTCTTCAATTATTGCAATTAAAATATGTTTTATAAAGCCTGAACAGTTATCTCGTACTGTAAAGCCAGCCTGGATACTGGCTTTGACCTGTGTAAGGCGTGTAGACTACCGAACAGACTCTAAGGCACAATGGGTTTTCAGATGACTTCAATTCGTTCTTAACCCGCGCACCGACGGGGGTCTGCGCCAACTTCGCACCGACGGGGGGGGGGCGGATGACCGCCCCCCCTCGAGATCTCGAGAACGAAGCAAGATAGCGACAAGCGGTAAACGGCATCGGATACGCACGGTCAAGATCTACAATTTTTACTAAGGTCATTTTCAGGTCAGGTCAAAGATGACGTCACAGGGGTCGAAAAAGTCAAAATGGCGGCGCTGGATATGGAGAGAGTTTTTCTCGAATAACTTTCGAATTAGTCAAGATAGGAACAAACTAAGGGCATCATCGTGATCCTCTCGTCAATCCGCATCGAATGATATATATGTTGACCTCGAAAGGTCAAGGTCAAAGGTTGACCTCAGGTCACGTGACCTCGAGGTCATCATGTATATCATTCGATGCGTCTTGACGAGCTGAACACAATGAGACCATCCACGCGTCTGTATCTTGTTCCTGTACGGAGTTATTGGCCAAAAACCTTTGGTGACCTTTGATGACGTCACATGACCTCACAGCTGCCCAACAGCAAAACAGACCTCAAGGTAGTGAAGGTTGATCGTATATGAAGTCATGTATGGTATATGGGGCCATTCCCACCCGTTTTAGTGGTAAAAACAGGGAGTTGATTTTTCCCCCATTGACTTATAATGGGGAGGTCGCGATATTGACCTGACCTTAGGTCACCGACATCAAAATTCCGAGATATACAAATTGTAGCTACTAATGACCTAATAACATCCTGCGACTTTCAAAGACCTCCGACATCTACTGTAGCTCTGGCACGGTGACAAAGTTGCAAAAAAGTGACTTGAGATTGGGTCATTCAAAGTGACCTGGTGACCTGACCTTGAAAGGTAGGAGGTTCAAACTTGCACACCATGTGTAAAATTGATGAGGGAATAGTCGTACTAAATTTCGTGGCGCTACGCGCCGCGGTTTTCCCGCTATTCGCGAAAAACCTCAGGGGGGGGGGGCGGATATCCGCCCCCCCCCCGTCGGTGCGCGGGTTAATTATCCAACGTTTTCACTGGTGGCTCTGAAGCGTTATTACCCCGAATACTACATAGGTACTTGGCGTTGACTGTTATATCGAAGGGACAAACGCCATAAAAGACATCCGTGAGAGGCATTTCACAGTCCAGGGCGTGTCAATGACCGATGGCAGGCAGGTGTTCAATAACAAGCGACATCGGGATGGATCTTGGGGAGGATTGTCAATGTGGGGGCGGTTGGACACGCGCGGCGCCCGTGGACCTCTGACCAGTCAAAGGGGCTCGAGCGATCTCTCCGAGCGGTCTTTGATATTTGATCTCCGGCAATACCAGGGTGATTGAGCTATATCAGCGGCCTACTGCTGTGGGTACAGACTATGCGGACCACGATCCTTTAATCTCTCTTGATTACCCATATAGCGATGGGTTGCGGTCTCGCGTTTACCTACAACAACGGCCTATGATCAAACAGTTGGTCTCAGGTGCCTCCTAACGGCGTCGGTCCGATAAATACCAGTGGTTTGTTATTCATATGGTAGGTTACATATTCATATGGTTCATATGGTTTATGACGCGACCTAAAAACATAGTAATTTAATAATAATACCTACCTAATAATAACGGTCGTTTGATCTGCTGTGCCAAGCTATTGGTATCGGCTTTGCACTGGTGGTCCCCGATGTATTGCCACCACCTTTGATTTCATGAGTGACTTAGATACCTAATCGTACCACGTCAACGGCAGTTGATGCACTGAAAAACGTTCAGCCGTACAGTACACAACTTGGAAGCAGTGGGGCGTAGGATCGTGGACGACTTGGTGATTGGTTTGTTATTTCGGTACGGATTTGTCGTTTTTATCAACCTCGAGTGCGCCATTTCTCGGTACCGATCAATCCTGATAACACCATCATTCATTTATATAAATACATACCAGCAACGCATCAATGTATCTGTATTCATTTTGAACATCCCGCCGACATCGGGACATTCTGACTAGAGTTAATTCATCGCTTTTCACAACGGCTATAGCCCATCACACATCATGAGCAACTTCTCGCATTGTGTCTTCTCGCTTTGAGCTTGTGATGGCGTTCGCTGGAAAGGAGCTACCTGAGGACGATGAGCGACTTTCCAAGATATATCAGCGAGGGAATGCGCAACACCGACAGAGCCTCTATGCCCTCTATGGAGTATTTGCCCCAATTCCGTTTGCAATGCACATTTGTTATGCTCATGTAGGCATATGGATGAAATGACATGTAATCTCTGACATGGACAGTGAGAAATACTTGCCGGATGAGGCAGAATGACATCGACATCAATATGTATCTTCTGCAACACATGAGTTATCAGTTCGAAGCAAACATCTAACCACGCAGCCGTGGGCATCCACAGCAACAAGTCAAAACATCAGTGCAGTCGTCCATGGATGCACTGTTCATTGAACAATAAACACAGCTCCACAGTTCACTGTCCACAAAACTGAGCGCAGCATCTGATAAGCTCTTCACTGGATGCCGCACTCGTCCGTTTTCTGTTCTGTCGACTTTCGCTTCTTCATCGACCGTCTGCGGACGAGACTTTTGCTGCGCGGCTTCGATCTGTTGGGTTTAGTAGCCACCTTTTCGTTGTCCTGGGGAAGAACAGTGGTTAGTTAGAGCTTAACCCGCGCCGGGCCGGTGCTCTGAGATTCCGCGCCGGGCCGGGGGGGGGGGGGTCTGAACACCCCTCCCTTCTAACTCGGCTCCTGGGCCACGTAGCGACACGCGGTAAGCGGCATTCGAAAGAACGTCCAAAATAAGGACGAAAACATTTCGGTCATTTTTTGGGTCAGGTCAAAGGTCAGGTCACCAGAGGTCACCAAAGGTAAAATTTTGACTATTTCAACCTTTTGGAAACTGCCAACGGCTATCTCGGGAACCGATTGAGCTACAGCGCCGCGGAAAAGCGCATTCGATAGCCCTTTTACAGACCTTTCTGAGCAATGTTCTCAGATTTGACCTCAGGTCAACGGTTTAGCCTCCAGAGGGCAAAAACTCCAAAAATAGTCGTTTATACGAAAAGCGTTTTTTCGGCAATAACTTTTGACTCAAAAGAGCCATGACATTACTTTGGCCAGCATCGTGTTCCTCTCGTCGAGACGCGTCGAATGAACTATAAGTTGACCTTGAAAGGTCAACTTGAAAATTTGACCTCAGGTCAAGGTCATGACCTGACCGGAAAAGGTCATGTTACATACCAGTCGATCCGCAACGTCGAGCCGAACACGCACGCCTCTATCAGAAGTTATTAGCGAAAAACTGTTAGATTCTGTTCGTGACCTGAGATGACCTCGGGGACATAACGAGGGGTCACAGTTGCCATTTTCCGGTTCAGTGTCTCAATCTTACCTACATCTTGATGTTTGAGAGTGTCTAGAATAGCGTTCGTGCAAAACAGACGCTTTTCAATTTTCTCCCATTGACTTATAATGGAGAGGCCGCAAAATTGATCTGACCTTAGGTCACCGATATCAAAATTCCGAGATATACATTTTATAGATATTGTTGCTCTTATCAATCGCTGAAAGTTTCAAGGCAATCGATCGATCGGTGTAGCTATGACGAGCATTCTTATTTTTTCTGAGGTGAGGTCACTTGGCGTGACCTGGTGACCTGACCTAAGGCGACATGGGTCTGAAATTTTCACAACATGTGCGGAAAAGATGCACAAACACGTGTATCAAAAACGGTGGCGCTCCGCGCCGTCGTTTTTGAGATATCTGCGAAAAACTGCAGGGATGTTCAAACACCCCCGGCCCGGTGCGGGGGGGTCTTGTGTAAACCATGATGTCTCTGTCTGTTCGGGTTTGAGTGAACTACGAGTATACTCGTGCCGGATTGTAAGTGTGGGCCCCTTCAGTCTTTCTGAGATTATTCATGAAAGGACACCTAGCCATGAGCCAAGGATACCTAGCCACGATTTAGGCACACATCATGCGCATGAAAAAGTGCATTGACCCTTCACTCCACAAGGCGTCTTTTAGTCTTATTCCCGCCCCAGTCAGCCCCAGGGAGTTGGAGCTGGAGGTCTTTCATCAATACCAGGATATCGCGCAGGTCCCTCTCTAAGAAACAGCAATCTTTAGGTCTACCAGAATTCAATCGATCTGTTGTCCTTGGGGACGTTGAGCCCTTTGATAAGAGATAATCCAGTGAGCTTGACGTTTCATTAGAGCAAATGAAGCATCAGGGAGTAAAAATCCAATGATATGTACGCGTTTACGTTTCTAAGGAGCTGTCACCCGACCGAACTCATAGCTACCTGCTGCGTGACATTTCTTTCCGCCTGCCTTGGTACGTACCCATCCATTACGCGTCGGCTTATGCCCATCGAGCGCCTCGCTGTGCAATGTGCGTTTCATTAGCGCGAACAGGACACCCGTCGGTTTTATCAGGCGCCTTTTCTAACTGCTCGTGGCGCTACTGGAAACCCGCAGTTTTCAATACGTTGAATGGTATCTACCTACACTCCTACGCAGTGACACGCAGATAGTTGGAGGTCAATAATTCCTGAAGTGTTGGGTCTTTGGGTAGGTGGCTGGCTCTCAACGTGCGAACTTAGATTCTGCTGACCTGCCTAGTTCAGTTGCCAGGTAGTTAAATAATCAACTTCCGGCCAACTTGTCAAATTATTTTCATTTATAATATACAACATGCATATCCTTCAACTGTTGCTAACTTTCCATCAGTCGACGACATTGGGCCGTAGTTGAATTGAAATGTGGATCTTTTATTGTTACTTTTGATGCAATTGGAAACGATCTGATGGATAGAACATGGTGTTACTGAGCAGTATATTGTTATTGTTTTGTCAGATGCAATTTTATTCTCGCCTGTATTGGTGATTGGACAACCGCCAACGCATGGGCTGATCCCGGTGATCACCCCCCCCCCCCTCTAGTCCCCACCCTCCCCACTAGATTCCCCCGCCCTGCAGCCGTTCCGTCCTTTGTCGAGCTAGATCTTCTCGGTACCAAAATTCGGGGGAAATCGGGACGTGCTAGGAGTTCATGAATTCGTGACCCCATGAATCATGATGTGAGCTTTTGTTGGGTTATTTGATGCCTGATACTGAATTCGGTACCTAATTGTTTTGTTCAGTACCTAATGATGAATTTGTGCATTTAGGCTAGCTCAGTTTGATCTGTACGCATAAGCACGTTCAAAAGTACGCTGTACTCAGTGCCATATCGCCACTGACCTCGGATGTCTGGTCGCTGATGCTGGGGCTCGGCCCGTGTGCCGGGGACGACGAGCTGGAGGTGGAAGGTGGGCTCTCGCTGCGTTTTCGGGTGAGTCTGAGCGAGAGCTGACGCCAGTTGGAGGGCGGCGGCGGCGCCGGCAGCGGAATGCCACCCAGCCGCAGGTACTCGCGGAATATCTCGGCGACGTTCGTGTTGGCCAGAGCAGAACACTCGAGGAACCGGCCCCTGTCGAAGGCGAGAGACGGTGTCAGGGGAGAAATCTAGCCCTGCCGATGCCTGCAGCAACTGGGGTCACACGAGTGTCAGCAGGACAGTTCCAGACGACAACGTCGAGGAAGCATCACACAAATCTCGGTAGATGCTCGACGTAACAGTCACTTTGGAGTGAGAACACGGCTACAGGGTAAATGAGGGCTGCTTCGTGAAATAAACAATATCGCTACTTGCAGTTGCCAGTTTCTCATGAACCACACTTGCTGTGACCATAGCTGCTGCCCTGAAGCCAAGGATCGTTCCATGACGTTGGCAGGAGATGACCTAAAAGGTCTGGCTGCTGCAGTGAACAGCAGTGCTTGAATTTGTGGTGCTTCGTGCTCATTGACGTAACAACGTCGTTTAGTTAGTTGCGTTCGTGATAGAGAGGCCAATGTTATGCCTTTCAACAGCCTAGCTGGCTGTTTACATTTCCTTTAAGGCCGAGGGTTTGTGTTCAGCAGCTAAAAGTACTTTTCACTAGAATTGTTTGCCATTGAAAAACAAACTAGAGTTGTCGGACAATTTCACAAAAGTTACCTGGGATAAGTAAACACTGCAGGACTGATTTTTATTATTTCAAAGCCCGTTCTTTGTATGGAGGCTCTGTTCTCGCAGTCATACAAACACGCACACAACAGTAGGAGAGAAACATTTCTCGTTTTCAGTTCACATTTACATGCACTCAAAAACAAAGAGCACAACAAGAACCACTTATGGTATGAAATAAACATGTATTATTATTATTATTATTATAGCTGTTGATGAAGCAAGAAAAGGGTGCAAACACAATTAACATTGGAATAATGGAGCAGCATTCGGTGATAATTTTGAAGAAGTTCATTCGTTATTGATGGCCAACCTTCGAATCAATGGTTGAAGTCATACGTTTTGGATAGCATTACAAGCCCTCGACAAACATATTGAATACAACCCTACCAGTGATTTTCGTATATCGACCTTTCCACAAGCGAGAGGGTTGTCATCTTACACACTGGCTGGCATAACGCCAGCAAATGCGCACAGACAGACAGACTCCAGTGCAGCCGTTACTGACCTGTTGCGCTCCATCTTTGAGTAGAACCAGCTGGCGGCCGAGCGATGGCTGACCTGTCGGTTGATCCCTGCCATGTCACTCTTGTTCCCCACCAGCAGTGTTGGCAGCTCACGGAAGTCGTCACGCAGTCGGCGCACCTCGGTAAAACAGTCGATCGCTTGCAGGAAAGACGCGTAGCTGTCCACGCTGAACACGAGCATCAGGGCCTGCGCGTGCAGGATGGAAACCCTGCCGAACAGACAGAGAATAAACAGGCGAAGCCATCAGAGCCTGCGCGTGCAGGATGGACACCCTGCCGAACAGACAGAATAAACGGGTGAAGCCATCAGGGCCTGCGCGTGCAAGATGGACACCCTGTCGAACAGACAGAGAATAAGAGGGTGAAGCCATCAGGGCCTGCGCGTGCAGGATGGACACCCTGCCGAACAGACAGAGAATAAGAGGGTGAAGGCGGTCGCCGGTCCCTGCCCGTCCCGTCTTTATGAGAGCCTGGCGTAAGGCAGAGAGGGAGAGAGGGAAAGGAGGGGAGATTATGTATTACATTATATGTATGCTTAGATTCTGGAAGCATTAGCACTGTAGGCATCTCCCTAGGTTTTGTTTGCATACAATTCCTTCGAAATATTTGCTTCAGAGCGTCGCTCCTCTAGGTCGCCTCCTGAAGCATTGGTGTCGCTCACAACAATGCATGACGTATGTGTTTCATTTCAAGTGCGATTATTTAAGCCTGTCTGATCGTTTAAGCGGAGAGGCCAAATCTGCCAAGGGGTCTCACCTTTACTTTAGGGGCCCCAGCGGTAACCTACTTAGCCCACATCCGGGTGCGGCTCCTAGTAAGCTTCGCCCGCATAAATAAATTAGTACGGCTCTGGACGTGCAATAGTAATGAATAGAAAGTCAAAAAGTAAAGCCAAGAGTAAAATGATGATTTTAGCCGGCTACTGGCCAGTGTTGAACGCATTGAGGACTTAGGTTATACATTCGCTTTTCAATGAGCGTTTAATTCGATAAAACAGCCTTAAATAATCGAGCTACAAACGTGTCAAAAATCATCAGTTTCTAAAAGCAACATAAAACATGCAAAGTTCATGACTGTTCACGTGGTTTAGCTACAAATTGTTGGACATTTGTGTTGTGCCCACACACGCTGTATTTGATGTCCTGTACGCATGACGATAGAGTCCGAAAGACAACGGTCGTATTTTTTTCACACCAGGCTATTTGCACCAAAGTAAGGGGGATGGATTACTTTCATTCAATATGTCCTGATACTGCCTGGGTTCTCGTTTGACTTTGCCAGAATATGAGAATCTGATACCAGACAATTTGTAAAGTTAATAGGAAACACTGCAATGTTTCACTTATATACCTACATTTCAAATAACAATCGTAACCGGGGATTCCTGACTCCTGAGCTAAATAACTATTTCACTATATCGTGGGTGCAAGCCTACACAAATGGATCGGCCCTGGCTGTCTTTCAACGAGAACCGTTGAAATGGTAGTGGACTTTTTGATACCCTACCAAAAAGACTACCACAATGTCATCATAAAACAGCCGATATGTCGCGTGTTGATAAAAAATATATGGTGGTTCTCTCAGAAGTCACCCACACTGAAACTTGCTGGGCCAGGAGCTTTCAAGCAGTGTTCGCCATGGGCCAAGCCAGCCCAATGGGCCATGGGCTGGGCTGGGCTACGGGCTGGGCTGGGCCCTCAAATATAAAGGATCGATGGGCTGTGGATGGGCTGGGCCAAGAACTGTTAAAGTGGAGTCAGGGGTTCGCAACTGAGACAAAAACTATAACTACATAGCTTATTACTGTGCAAGGCTAAAAAACGAGTTACTAAAGCACGTATGCAATGTGCATTGTGCATGCTGCTCGCGAAAGATTGTTTCTTTGCTACCTTTGGATACCTGTATGGTGTCAATAATTTTTAATCCATTCATTTTTGACGGGCTGGGCCGGGCTGGGCCTTGACGCTTTTACTATGAATGGGCTCGGGCTGGGCCGGGCTGTGAACCCATGGGCCTGGGCTGGGCTGGACTGGGATTTTGCGGCCCGTGGCGAACACTGCTTTCAAGCCCAATGTAAGTTGTTCTTGCAGACGCAAGAAAAGGCCGAATCGCAATACTTCGGGTGTTATAACAGACGATTCTCTGCTAAACAGCCTGGACGCCGGCGACTCCAAGCAGTCCAAGATGCATCCCCGGATTTTTGTTGCGTGCGTCAGCAGAAAGGGAGCCACGTGCGATTGGCTTACGAGTTAAAGTGGCGTGCGTTACTGGACGAAAGTAAACGTTCAACAATTCTGAGTGAACTGTCCAAATATCCCGAGAATACAGTGCATTATGGCTTTTCACTTTTTGTCACATCTAGTAAAATACCCGGTAGTTACAGATATACATAAAGTTTTTCTTGAATTGACTGTTTAATGTATATAAAAGTCTTAGACAAAAAGAAATAATGGGCGAAACCAGCTAGACAAGCCGTTTTGTTCGGTAATTTTTATAGTCCAACTGGTGCAATACTCCGGCCCAGAAATAATGACACCAGATCAGAAAGGTTTTGTTTTCGCTGTTTCGGTTTATTCGATTCTGAAGTAAGTACCTACCGCAACCAGATGGCCCCTGAAAATAGTACCTAAGCCGCATTGTCACCAAAATGATCGAGCGATTTGGTCGCACTGTAATCGACACAGTGGGCGTGTTGATTTGCGCTGGTAGATGGAGCTCGCATCAGGCGGAAGAGCCCTGGGAAGAGCCCGTGAAACCACTGTGCGACCCTCCGCAGCACGCCTGTGTTCCTCCCTGTGTAATGCTTTCCTCTCGAACGGATGTGGGCAGTAGTCCGGAATGATTGGCTGGCGGCGCCTGTTACATGTGGCATAAATCTCTTGAAGGATGTTCGACTGAGAGGCGATAGCTCGCCCGATCAGCAGTGGGCTGGTATTCACTTAAAGGTGTCGCAATGTGGCAGGCGAAGAAATATCGCGGCTTGGCGAAAATCGCATCAGTTATCTGTTTCCGTTCATAGACAGCGCAGACGGCGACAAATGTTAACAGTGAAAATAGAACAGAGGAATACAACCGGAACCGGAGTGACTACAGGGCACCATCTGGTGGCTGTGATATCCCGAACCAGTCTCACTTAGAAGCAGTTATGCATGCATAGTCTACCCCTTATTCTTTCATATTATGACCTGTCGCCATAAAAAAGTAAGTAGACCAAATGTCAGCCCAATAAAATAAAATAAAAAATACATGTAAAAGAGTGGGTTGGACCGGGTTCTGCCAAACACGTCAGCGTGCACAAAGGACTATTCACAATTGCATTGTAATAGTTACCTCGTGTAAAACTCTACACACGATTTACTACCAACCGACTTTTACACAGAATATGATTTCCCGGTGTCCACTGAACCTCATCAGATCTCAGCTGATGTCTGTCATGCTGCTAATATAGCTTATGGGGCTTCGCCGTGGTCACTGACCTGCGCATCGCCGGGAAACTGTTGTCGCCACACGTATCCAGTATATCCACTCGGAGTCTCGTGGCGCCCATGTGATAGCTGCGCGAGTACTGGTCCTCCAGGGTGGGCCGGTAGCGTTCGTCGAACTCGCCGTATAGGAAGCGGCGGCAGATGGAGGTCTTGCCGACCCGCGAGCCGCCCAGCACCAGCAGTCGCACGTGGTGGCCGGAGTCGGCCGACAGCGCCACCGAGCCACAGATCAGGTCCACCAGGCACTTGATGCCGTCTTCACGACCGGGCATCTGTGGAGGGGCAGGAGCACGTGCGGAATGAGTGCCTCTAGTGCCGACGATTCCACAGAACTGGCGAGTGCTGGAGTTCTGCTAAAAACGTGAGTCACAATTGCTGTCGTCCTGCAGTCGGGCATCCTCGAGGCCTATTGCCTATTGCCAGTAGACTGCAGAATAGGCACTGACGTAGACATTGGCATCGAGACGAATGGCTAGCAATCAAACGGTCATGATATCCCATTTCGTGCTTCGAACACCCACGGAGGAAGGAGGAATGTTTGATGTTGCAAACATCTGGAGTTTTTGCTTAAACTTTAACTTTTGATAATAGAAACTACGTTAAACTGAACCTATCATACCTATACATAGGTATATTTTGCCACTATTTGCGTGCCAAGTTTTAATGAAATAATTGCAATTACGGCCTATGGTTCTGCCAACTTGCGTTATGATCATGAAAATTTAAGGTAAGTAATAAAAGTGATTGACACGAGGGTACTGAACACGTTATGGCTGATCGTCGCCCAGTGTGTCCAAAATTGTAATGTTGCGGGGAAATCCACCCATAATGGAAAGTAAAATGACATCCTAAAATATAAATAATAACATCCTCACGACTTAAAATAGCAATTATCTGAACCAAACTGTTCAAATATATGACCAGACTTAAAAAGTTTGTCTTTATCATCCCGATTCGCCAATATCAGAACGCCTTTAATGTTTTATCAGTATTTAATATTTCTACATTTTTTTAGTTATAACTTAAAAAACGGTACCTAAAAATGTCAGTCAAGTTTTGTGAAAATAATGACATCTTCTACCGGTTTTTTTCTACATCCTCCCCCTAACGCAAAATGAATTTAGCCACACTGTCGTCGCCTTTCACGCGAGGCTGGCTAGATGAAAACTTCACATTACTCTTGATTCTACTTTTTGACTCTATTCATTCCTATGCTTGTCTCGTGCCTTTTTGGGCAGTTAAAACGATCAGACAGGCTTAAATAATCAGGCATTAGCATTTCTTCAAGATCTACGTAGTGCTGAATCGGGGAAAGATTCCCAGTCTAGGAAATGCATCCTCATACTATATAGGCATATCAATTGATTGTCTAAAAGTGCCTTTCTTGTTTCTGTACGTACGCCCACGGCTCGTTCCACGTATAGTCGACTACAGAATGATGTTCCACTTTTCACAGGCAATTATTTGCCTGGAGTGGTAGGCTGTGCCACATCACACGGGCTGAGCTCACAAATTCGAGCTTTGTCCCAAAGCTCACAATCGACACGCTTAATTGCGTGATAAACGGCACAACTTAGCGCTCCGGTCAACTGACAGCTTCTGAGGAGTGGAACATCATTCTGTAGTCGACTAACAATAGCAGGTGCATCGGGATTACCACAAGCTGGACAAATCCAGATTAAACCAGACACAGACTCGCATCGACACAGACACCCATTACCCAAGGAACCGTACAGACTGCGTCCGGTAGCGGGGCTGAAATAGCCGTGCTTCTGTTCAGTCCGGGAAACCCTAATTAGCCTTCCGATAGGGCAGATCTGATTGTGGCAATATCAGAAACATCTAACGACAGTGCGCCGGTCGTCGCCGTCGTTAGATGAAGCCACTCGCAGCCGGAGAACAGAGTTCCAGAAAGGACAAAAGACGCGGATGTAGTTCGGATCTGATGAAGTGTTCAAACGGCTGCTTGAACGAAACGTTAACGAAAAGCTGGACGAAGAGGAGAGATGAATTCTGATGAAAAGCCCCACGTCTACCAGATCATTCATATTAGCAGCACTTGGACGTTTTGGGTACCATTTATTCCAGAAAAAGGTTTTCTGACTGCAAAACAAAACTGAATGACAAAATAAAAAACTGAACTGAACTGAATAAAGAAACTAGAAAGCATTGCTCGTGATGAGGCGAACCTCATGGCATCCAATTTGTTAGGTCCTACGTCATCACTTAACCATGGTAAAGAGGTTACCTATAAGTCAAAGATCATTTGGAACAGAAATATGAAATTTCAAGGCTGGATATAATATCGAATTACTCTAGGGTTCTGAAAAGTTGAGCAATGTTGTAGCCTTTTTTGCAATTATTTACGAAAAATCGAGTGGTCCACGCTGTCTCCCCTAATAAGTATAAGGATTAAACCAGTATAACGCCTTTTGGGGCGACTAACGGAGCGAGCGAGAGGGTGGGCCTTGCACGTGCGAAATTTCGAGGGGGTACCTCCAACTGAATTGTGCACGGCACCCTACTAACCGGTCTCTAGCGATGTGCCAAATTTGAGCACAATCGGCCCAGCCGTTCTCGAGACCTGGAAGCGGCACCCTGCACGTGCGCACGTGCAAAATGGGTCCCAACTGACTTGTGCACGGCACCCTACTAACTGGTCCCTAACCGTGTACCAAATTTGAGCGCCATCGGTCCAGCCGTTCTCGAGATATGGAAACGACCCCTGCACGTGCGCACGTGCAGCAGCGCCCCAACTCTGGCACATGGATATGCAGTGCCTAGTGGGTGCCTACCTACATGCCAACTTTCAGCGCAATCGGCCAAGTAGTTACCGAAATATTGCAACAATTACAAAACTGACACCTCTTCGTTTTGCACGTGGCACGTGCATAAGGGGTCACCCACGTGCATCGGGAATAGTCCAATACTTGGTAGAAGGAATGAAGCTACCCTACAAAAATTACCGCGTGTAAATCGGTCAAGTGGTTGCTGAGATATAAGCCTCGCAAAAGCGTCCGCACGGCCGGCCGGCCGGCCGCTTATACTCAGAAATTTCCGTTAATCTAAGGAAAGACTCCGCTCGCTTCGCTCGCTCCGTAATCAGACCACAGCCCAACAAATGCTAATTTCCCAAACCTATTTTGCTACTCTGACGTAACAGATCCAGCAACCGAGCGCTCCTAGCAATGAAATGTGAAGACAGCAGACCTTCAGCAAACGATCATCAGTGAACTCCGTCGGTAGCCAAGCGTAAGGGTTGTTTATCTTTATAGGATATGAATGTCGCAGCTGCTATTTGAAGATATCTGGCATTAAATGGTTTATCCAAACTCATCTGATTGCCCGATGTGACGTCAGTGCAAACCAAACCAAGGCAGAAGACCAAAGCATGTTTTATTTCCTGAGGCGTAGCCGAGGGCAAAAATGTTTGTTGACGTCTTCGCCCGAGGGCTACAGTGGCGTCTCAGAGGGTAATATCTTTACCTATTGCCTGCTGCCACATACAGCGTTCATTTTATTACATGGACTACAGCAACATAAGGCATCGCGAACACAAATATGTCCCTACTGACTAATCAGAAGAAAAATTTTGAAAACAGATCAAAACACACGCGGATTAGGTACGCGGATTAGGTACCTACTTATTGCCCGTTGTCATCATTTCATTAACAAAAACATGCAACCCCTCAGAAGGAAAGTTAAGGCGAAAATTGCTGTCAACTGTCAAAATTATCACACACACAGTTTACACACGAGCCATGCAATAATGTGTCCTTGCACGGTGGAGGGCCTCAAAATCATCAGTTGGATGGGCAACAATGGCCATATGCGGTGCTAAGCTCGCACAACTAACACGCCAGCAGTAATATTGCGGCAGCCATACATTATGAGGCGATTACACAATCGTGGGTACTTACGAGAAATAACAGGCATATCGCCGTAGCAAAGATTTCATAACCTGACTTATCTCTAATGCCCGCAAATTTACGACCAAATTGTGTTTATTCCCACGGCTAGCACAAGAGCATGCATTGATTGATTAAGCTATAATTGGACTTCTAGTTCCTGATCTGTGTATTGTCTCGCCCAAGGGTAAGTTTTGTATTCGTTACAAATCGTAAGCAGCGGCCGCTATTTATTTTACTTCAAACGGCCGCTATTTAATTTAGGGCAGCACATCATCGTAAGTCTCTTATCTGTCAACGAGTCATAACAGCAAAACCATACATACCTTGCCTTTCAGTTAGCTGTGCCCAGACGTTTGAGATGAAACTGAAAGCTCTTCTGAAGTGGAGCGCTGGTCACTGGCAGGCAGAGACGCACTGTGACCAGACTGCGTCGGACTGCGCTGAGTCGTTCGTCGGTCTCGTCGGAGCGCGGATCGTCGTTCGTCCGTCCGTCGGTCGACACACGCCACGGCCGAGTGATGCTCGCAGCATCCGCGCTGTGCGTCAGACCGACGGACGGCCGTGGACGGGACGGCGCCGCTGCGCAGACGTCGCCCGTCCGCCGCAGTCGGACTTACCGCTGAACTTGGGCTCGGCTGATAGAATTGTCGCTTATCAAACAATGTTGAAGTTTGGAGCTTTTACCTTTGAATTTGCTATTTGATGTAATTATTGAAGCGCTAGTGTAATAAGCTAAACGGGAGGGGGCTTTACAGAACCCTCCCCCGCTTTTCGCAATATCTTCAAAAATGCTGAGCGTATCGACGCGAAACTTCCAGTACCTTTCGATACATCAGCATTATAAAGTTATTGGCATCTGAACACCAATTCTACAGCAAATACGAGTATACGCCGAGTCACGATTTCGGTCTGACGTGGTCTCAGATCAAGGGTCAAAGATCATGTGGGTCACGATCAGGAAACTTGCAGGGTAGTTGTAAAAAAATGATGTACTCTTCGATACAAGAAGTTTCGTCGCGCTCGGCCGCCGTTTGCGAGAGTTATTAACGAAAAAAAAAACCTGAAGTGCGAGAAGTGCGAGGGTAGCCCCCCGATAGTGAATGACCTATGAAGAGCACGTCGCTGAATAAACGGCAAATTGGATTTAAGTATAACACCCAAAAATAATTGCTTGACATTTTGTTAATATTTCGGTAATTAGCGAGGGCAGAAAACCATTCGGTTGTGATATGCGCCAACAACCAATTTCACGCGAAAATATGCAAACAACTAACAAGTTGTGGTTTCTCCAATCGGTCTTCCAGCTATTGCCGGTGTCTTACTTCTTCGTCCCAATTCTACCCATTCTCTCCTACTGTTAA